GTAGAACAGCCTTCTTATGGAGATGATGATGATGATGATTGTAATAATAATTTATTAAATTTATATGCTGCCTGACTCCCGGCAACCCTGGACAGGGAAGATCAGACTGGCTCCCTCTTTGCTGGTCTTTTGGAAGCTCTTGAAAATCGAATTGTTTTGAAGAACTTTCCCTTGATGTATATGTTGCCATCTCTACTTTTATCTTTATTTCATACTGTATAGTTTTTACTTTTGTATTCTGTCAGTTGTTTTATTTTTACCATACCTATTTTAATTTGTCCTCTCTTCTATGTAGGCTGCCAAGAATCTTATTGCAATGGCATAAGAACATGTTTATAAATAAAACTCTTAATTATCCTAAATGTACAGTTCACATAATCACATGGAGCGTTAAAATCCTGTTACACTTTATTAAATATCATATTAAATGAAAACAATTGACACTTGACAAACCATTACACTGTTCATAGTAAGACAAATTACACATTGAATACAAGCAATGTAACATTTATTCAACCATACTGCTGACTAAGCTGTCGTTAAAGTATGTGGCTATATTATGTATACATATTTAATATTAACATTGTTTGATTACCAAACCCCTGTTAAAAAGAGCACCTTTTTGTGCCTTATATAAAGAACCCCAACCAGGGAAGATTTTGTATATAGCACTGCAGAACTGTATGATCTGAGACCACGTTTAGGGAATATCTTAATACAAGCTTTCAATTTTTGCTTTTAAAAATATTGCAAGGCAACAACATAGATAAGTGCCTCCATACCTTTTTGTCAAGAGAAAAAGCTTTGTGTTATGATTATGGTCAAGAATGAAACACAATTCTATTTATATGGTCTCCATATTCCATGTGAATCTGTACAGTCTAAATGTAATTTATTCTATTAGGCTAGAAAAACAGTAATATACTTTTTGGAAATACATACTCTATATTCACCATACATTTATGTGCATGTATGTGTGTGCATTTAAAAGATTGCATTGCCTTCACTGCTGCGAGGAGCAACGTTTCTCCTTAGTTAATCAGAACAAATAGGAAATGTCTATTCAAAGCTCAGCCACATATTGAAAGGAAGACTGGTCTCAAAGACTCTCCAACCATCGTTTATTAATATTTCCTGTGCTTGCTTAACCTTATTCCTAAAAGACAACGTATGCATTTTTTACAATGGCCCAGGTATTTTGCACATTTGAGCTGTTCTGTAGGACTCACCTATTGAACCAATTTCCAACATAACATTGGTAATGGAAACCCTGTAGACCTAATTTCTATCACCATTTCTCCATTTCTCATATAGTGGAGTTACTCTTATCTTTCATTATAAGCTGTTTTCTCTTCTTACAGTTTCAAAATTATTCCCTTTCTTCTCACTGAGAAGCCCTCTAAAATAAGGAGGAGTTCAATTAAAAGAACTGGATGTAATTGGAAAGCAATTTTGCTTCTCATACCAACCACAGAGGTCCAATCCATACATTATTAAAGCAGCATGCTTGTTTTTTCCACTGCTGCCATATTCCACCACTAGATCCCTGGCCACTCTGATAGCACTTGAAAGAAACTATTATGTGGAATGGTTAGATTGCATAGGTAGTATTTACAAATGGGCTAAGACTCCATGCAATTAATCATTCAAGTCTTACTGGAAAAATAAGGAAGTTATGGAAAAACAGCAGATATGTGATTTCAGTAACATATACACCAGGCCACAATTAACATATATGTGGAAAACTGAAAATATGTAATCTTGAATTTGAAGTGCTTGGAAAGAGGACAGGAACTGCACTAAGCTTTGGCTCTTATTGAAATTCTGAAAGGCTCAGAGTAGTCATTAGCATTACATAATGGGGGAAATAGGAAGTACCAGTGACATGGCAGAGTCTTTTAGTGTTCAGAATTCACTCCTATTGCTGTCAGGTTTTAGATGCAAACCTCATGCACAACTGACAGTGGAGGTAGTTGCAGTATGTAAAATCCCATGTTATGCATTGTTCAAAGCCATTCAGAATTGCCTTTCTGTCTCTAGAATAAGAGTTATATGGTTTTGCTTAACTGATCCACAAAGGAATACGAGTGATTAAATGGCTTTGTAGGACATGATGAAAGAAGTATCTGTATTTTGGATATAACCTGGAAGATATTTCAGGGTAAAACCTGTGCAGGTTTCTATTGTGTTCTAAAAAGGAACAGAAAATAAAAATTAATAATTACAATTTTCCAAGTCAGAGGTTTAGATAGATAACAATAGAACACTGATTTTTTTTCCAAGCAGCTTGATGATTGCACTGCACAATATTGGAGATCACATTATTTCTATGTACTGCTTTCTATTTACATTCCAGTGATAATTATTCCTCTTCACTATCACTAAAATTAGAAGTATAATAAAACCTAACTAACTTACAGGTATCCACTTCAAGTAATTGATCTTCTCCTATAATTTCAGTGCTTCAAAGAAAACCATACAGTAACTTTAAGAAACAAAACATAGGGTTCTTTGCCAGTGCCCCATTTTCTTTTTGGTGTATAAGTTTGGACTGATACATAAAGACAATGACTGGATTCAATATGGATTCTATAGGAAAGAATGGGGGCAAATAAAGTATGGAGATATAATATTGAAAAATATGTGTGGATTTTAAATTTCATGTGTTTTATGCATATCTTCTTCCATGTACAATTATTTCAAACGCTTGCCTTCTGTTGAGTTTTGAAACATCACTTCAAATAAATCATTTGATTTATTTTTTGCAGATTGCTTTGGCTGTGCTAACTTCTAGGAATGCAGAAGGATCATGGATGTACTTTGGGGAAGGTTACAAAGGGAGCAACCCATGATTCTCACTGGGGGTGCTGATGTTTTTTATCTGTTGTTTCATCATAGGTTGGATATGGAGGGCCCATTCCAAAATACAGAGGTCTGTGGCTTAAACAGATGCCCCTCCATTTGGTTAATTAAGTGGAGAAAAGTAAATTGCTAATGAATCTACTCTGAGAAAAGAGATGGATTTTCAGCCCCCAAATCCTAACCTCCCTTTCCAACCATTTTAAATCAAGAACATATATTAAAAATGATATAATAAGTTTCATTAATTACTTTCAATCTATAAGATAATTCAGTGTGATTAGCCAATATGTTCAATGGCATCAAGAGCTATTTTTGAAAATAAACAGAAACTCACAAAATCTAAGCAGACATCCTAAACTTTTGATTTATTATGAATAATATGGTGCTAGGCATTTAGCCCATTGAAGGGAATAACTCAGTGGAGTTACTCTTTACATAAAACCATCATACATTTAACATGAAGAGAAACGGCTTCCCTCCCTCTTTAAGCTATTACAGAGATTTACAGAAATCTACCCTCATCTTGATAATTCTGTTTAATTCTCAAAATTTCCTCCCCTTTCTTCTACAGTGCTGAATTTTTTTTTTCTTAGAAAGATCACCTTGAAATAGCCAACTGAATATATGATCTAATTTGAAAAATACCACATACAAAACAAATAAAAATTAAGGCATTTGTATTATGTCCAAAATGTTTCACTGGGTTTTGTGATTACTTGTTTCTAAGGACATAAAAAACTGGTTTGATAAAGTTTTAAAGAAAGATGGCAAAGCTTATTCAGGCAGGACAGAAACACATATTTTAATTTATATATAATTGTTGAGAATAGTGTAATAGCAAAATCATATTGACAATGGCTGCCTTATGTTAAAAATTAGTATTTTGCAAAATCAAGTATTTGCCAGATCCAAGTAATAAGATGCCTTCAGTTTAGGGAGCAAAAGCAAACTATAAATTGGATCCCTGTATCCCTGTTTTCCATCTTTTATCTATGAAAGCATTAAGATGCCATAATCAAATTACAAAAAATAGATAATCTTAGGCATCTGTTATACTATGGAGGCAATGTAGCTCTCTTGGTTGTGTAAAATAGTTGAGAAATCCCCCCACCCATATTTCTCTTTTATTTTGGAGGGATTTGCTCCATCCCCATCTCCTAAAATAAAAGTCGATTAGTCATATTAGGAATGATATGTAGCAGGCAAATCTAGTCACTGCCTTCCATTTCCCTTCCACCCTCCATTAAGACAGGGAGAATAGAAATCCCCTATTAGTTCACAATTAACAATTTACAGGGGAAAATCAGTTTTACGAAGATGCATTATTTAGTGCTTTTTTTCTACCATTTGAATATCATAGAAAAATAACTGGAAGAGTGCTTTGGTTAGGAAGAGAAAATATTTGTAATTTGGATGGTTATTCAAGGCTAGCATTTTTTAATGGCTCATTCAGCAACTAGTGTTTCTATATCATAGTGCTTATCCAAATGTAAACTCATTTTTCCTTCATCTTCTCTAGTTTTCTTCTTAGAAAATATTGTTGAACCAAGATATACGAACAAGTTAAAATGGAATCACAAAAACAGTAGAACAGTAAAAATCCCTTTTCTAACAAGGGCCTAGAATATCTGAATATATATGTGCCCATTATGCCACTTTATGCAAAACAGGCAGAGTGCCCAAATTCTAACTAAGATGCATTTATTGCCATGGTTAAATTAAAGAACATTACATTTCCTAGCAATAAAAAATGAGCAAAATTATAAGACACTGACTGTCACAACCAACCTGTAACCTGTTCAGCTTAGAATTCTGATAAATGTGAAATGAGTGGGATCTCTCAATGAATACATACATTGTTTCATGCCATGACTGTCTTTTAGCTACAGATAATATGAAGGAAGTGTGAACACCAAAGGTGTTGCCTTACTATATTTAAGACATTGCTGGTGAAACTTAAATATCTTCACAAAGGTATTATACTGCAGTGAAAAAAAGCCAGTAAAGTCCAACACAAAAGATTGAAAGAAGGAAAAAAGCCAAATATGCCACATATCAATAAAGCAAATAGCTTAATCTTCACAAATGTCTCTCAAATCACAAAGTATCAAAATACGTGCAGTACTTTAAATAAACTGAGAAGGAGTGGGGAAACAGATCTTGTCAGCATAATTTTTCTTGTGATTGAAATCCATCAGTTAGAAAGGAAGCAGATAATGGTGTCTTTATAATGTTGACTATCTTGTTTGTTTTTTCTCTCCTCTAGTCCGGTGATCTTAATTCCTATAATGAAACAATAGAAATTACAGTAAACATTATGATTAGAGACTGTTCATATATTCAGAATATCAAAAGTGATAAAACAATGGCATCCTCTCTTTTAATTTTAATAAAAATAAACATATAAAAACATATAAAAATTGTAAGGACAAGGTTCAGATTTGCAAGCTTCTCTTCAACACCAAGTGTCCAATTCCCAGGACTTACAGTAATATTTTATTTATTTACTCTAGTTTATATGTCACTTGATCCAATAAGCCTCAAAGCAGCTTACAAAAGGAAAAAAAACCCTTCAGCAACGTTAAAATAAAAACCAACCAACAATAAATCAAATAAAACCAAAGCAACAGCTCCCCACCAAGGAACAGCCCCAACATTCAAATCTATAGCAGGAAGGTCCCTTCATCACCAATTGATTCCAAGGCTCTCTGGAAGAGCCAAGTTTTAATGGCTTTCTGAAAAAAACAATATGGTGGGAGCCAACCTAATCTCAGAAAGAACACTGTTCCAAAAAAGAGATGCCGTTAATGGAAGAGATCTCAGAGGTAGTCCACCATTTCCAATGTTATTGGGCAGGCAGAAGTCATTGGGAGAGTAGTCCCACAGATAGTCAGGTCTTCTGAAGGTAAAGTTTTAAAGGTAAGAACCAGCATATTGAACTGCATCCAGAAGGAAACTGGCAACAAGTGCATCTCTAGCAGTTGACATGTCACATGGGAAAACCTAGAACTTCTTGTCAGTACATGAGCCACTGCATTCTGGACACTTAAATCTTCTAGATGGCTTTTAAGGACAACCCCATTATTTGCACTGCCAAAAAAGCAAAAAATTCCCAAGTGCCTGAAGAAAGCAATATATTTTTATATGATCTAGATTTAATAATAAGTGTAAGGATTGAACTAATTTTATACTGAAACTGTATGATTCTTCCTTTTTCTTTTCCCCCCCCGAAGTTCATTTCCCCTTATGCTCAGTTTAATCACTGTAATATATGTAGTTTCTTACTGTATTATCACAATGTATAATTCCTTTTGTTTGTTTGATACACTTCATTAATATCATTATAAAATTTTACTTACTAGTGGATGGGGAGATAATTTATAAACCTAACAAATAAATCATGTACATACATTTTATAATATAAAACATCTTGTCTCATAAATTAAGTAAAACAATTTCTGACTCCATCTTAAAGTTAAAATACTGTACTATTGTGCAAAGTGGAGAGAAAAGATTTGATCTGAAATATTAATATTAGTTCAAGTAATGAGAAGGGGAAGGGGACATTAATTCCAGAATATTTGCCACCAGCTTAAAAATGTTTTAGAACTAGAGCTTACTAGCTTTTTTTGCACAAACCGTAGCTTCTAAAACAGAATTCATCTGGATATATATTCTGAAGAATGGAATGGGGCAAGGCTCTCCCAGTGGTTTAGCATGCAGAACACACAATACTGCATTTCACAATGCGGCCTACTTAGTACCACTGCTGTATCTTGCAATTACATTTTATTGTTCTTTTAAAAAGCAACTGATAACAAATAGATGGCACATTTCTCCTGTATTTAATATGCCCTTTCCAGTTAGATTCTATTAGGCATAAATGCCACTATGCCTGATGTGCTGGATAGTAATTTTATTTTTGCTGATATTTTACTGAAGTTATCTTCTGTGCTATTGAAAATCATTTTATTTTTGACTCCATTCAAGTCTTTGCAATACATGTTAATGAATTAGATCACCAATTCCCATAACACAACTTTTTTCTGACCCACATTGGCCTATGAACCAGATTTTTTTTTAATTTTAATTTTCTTAAAACCAACTGTCAGCATCATGTGATGGAAGAGATGAAAAATGAAAATGAGCAATCCTGCTGAGCAGGTGAGTGACCTATGGGAGACAGCTCTGCCTGGTAGGATTTTTACATGTACCATCAGACACAGACCAATTGATTAGATCATCTTATTCTAGCCACCAACCAGGCTCCAGAGACTAATTAGAGAGAGTACTGCCTGCGCAGGCACCCCATTGACACCTAATTTGCTCAGCCAAAGCCTTTGGGGAGAATTTATTATCTCTGCAGCTGTACTTCATGCATTTCTGATTTGAGACAGAGGCAAGAAGCATTACTTCATCATGCTTCTGAACAAACTGAATGTAAGAAACTTTAACTGCTAAATACAAGCAGACACAAATTAAACCTGACCAGCCTCTCATCAATTCTGCTTCCCCTCCTCCGATTCCTGATGTATATCTACATTCTTAGATGAGCACACTGGCCTTGTATTATATTCTCTACAAATAGATAGTCCAACCATGCCATCCTTTTTGCTTCAAAAACTGTTTTTATTTAGTTTTTTATAAACTGTGTATATTTAATATTTAAATATTTAATTTAATATTTACTTATATACAATTGCTTGTTTTTGATTTTCTTGGTTAAAAATAATGCTATCCTGCTTAATAATCAAAGAGTTTTAGATAATTTTGATATTTTTGTATTAGTTATCATATCCTTTGAAGTTGCAGAAATGATATCAGTAAGGTTGAATTAATGGATCAGTTTGTAATGATGATTTGCCCCCTCCTCAAGAAGCCATCACTGGGTCTGACCATGCTGGACAATTTTTATCTGCTGTCTAACATCTCTTTTTGGGGGAAGGTTGTGGAGAAGGTGGTTGTGCAGCAGCTTCAGCAGGCCCTGGATGAAGCAGATTATTTGGACCCCTTTCAGTTGGGTTTCAGGCTTGGGTATGGGATGGAGATGGCATTGGTTGCACTTTTGAATGATCTCTGGTGGGAGGAGGACAGGAGTTGTGCATCTGTCCTTGCTCTTCTTGACCTCTTGGAAGCTTTTGATACCACTTACCATGGTATCCTTCTGGATCGGCTCTGAGGATTGGGAGTGGGTGGCACAGAATTGTGCTGTTTGCTTCCTTTCTGCGGGGCTGATACCAGTCAATGTTGATTGGGAGCGAGAGATCCCACCCTTGGCCCTTACTTTATGGGATTTCGCAGAGTTCAGTGCTCTCTCTGCACCTATTTAATATCTACGTGAAGCCAAATTGGGTGAGATCATCCATCACCATGGGGTGAGATATCATCAGTATGCTGATGATACCCAGTTATATATATCCACTCTGGGCAAATTAAGTGATGCTGTTGATGTCCTGTCCCGGTGCCTGGAGTCTGTAGGGATCTGGATGGGGAACAACAGGCTTCAGCTGAACCCTGGCAAGACTGAGTGGCTCTTGGGCCTTCTGGATCCAGGATTTTACCATCTTTGGTCCTGGATGGGGTTGCATTGCCCCAGACAGACCCACTGCACAATCTGGGGATCCTTCTAGTTTTGCCACTCCTGCTTGAGGAGCAGATGGCAGTTGTGGCTAGGAGGGCCTTTGTGCAACTTAGTATTGTACACCAGTTGTGCCCTTTACTGGACCATGAGGCTCTACTCACAGCTACTCATGCCTGGTCACCTCTAGAATGGATTACTGTAATGCACTCTACATGAGACTGCCCTTGAAGAACATCCAGAAGCTTCAGCTGGTGCAGAATGCAGCTGCGCGGATAGTTATGTGGGCGTATGTTATGTCTCTGTTCCACGAGGCGCACTGGTTGCCAGTTTGCTTTCAGGTGCAATTCAAAATGCTGGTTTTGACCTTTAAAACCCTACATGGCATAGGACCAGGTAATCTGAGGGACCGCATCTTCCTAGTTACATATACCCATCCCATCAGGTTGAGAAGAAGGGGTACGCTGCGGGTCCTGTCTACTAAGGAGTTACATCTGGCAGGACCCAGGTAGTTTTCTGCTGTGGCTCCCGCCTTATGGAATATCATTCCCCCTGTGGAAGATCGGCCCCATCCCTACCTGCCTTCCAGAAAGCCCTCAAAACATGGTTTTTCCAACAAGCTTGGGGGTCCCATGGTGAGTCCACAAGATGGTTGTGTCATGTTAAGTGGTGGTTGTCTGTCCCGCTATCTTGAGTTTTAATTAATTAATTAATTAATTAATTTTGCTTTTTGGTTTTTACGTAGAGTTTCATGATGTTTATTTTTTTAATGTATTGTATGCTGCCCAGAGTCACGTTTTGTGAGATGAGTGGCTATATAAATTTGTTAAATAAATAAATATATATATTCAATCCTGTCTGAATGTAACTATAAATAAATAAGGGACTGAACCTGAATGTTTCCATGTAAAGTGTTTCCTCTGATAAGAATATTGGATCAAAGTTAAATGACTCCTGTTACTCAGGACTGATAGAAAAATGGGTTGATAGTGTACATCCCTCAAATGTCCTTTGGATCATCACTACCAATTATTCTTCAACTTTTCCAAACTAAGGACTCATCTTAGGCCTTATCTTGCAACATGAAATCCACTTTTAAGTTTTAAAATCATACATATCAATCTTTATCTCTCTGGATGCAAATTAGAATAGGATATATGTTTATTTTTATTAGCTGATCAGAAGAAATGTTGTTTTGAAAAAAATTACTTTTCCTTAGCCACATGGTAGTATAACAGCAGAATGTCATTAACAAATAATATAGCCTTGTCCTATTTCTGTTCAAACTGTTTTGAATAGATATATTATTTCAACATCCTAGTTTTACAGTATTATATTCAGCATTATACAGTAAAACTGGGATGTCGAAATAATATATCTAGATTATTTAATAATATATCTATTAACAAAAATTCTATTTTTAAAATGCATGGTTTTAATTGTGTTCTTTATTTAAACCTGCTAGCACATCCTTCCTAGGTATGTTTGCTTGAAAAGAAATGTGAATGACTTCAGTTTGACATATCTATATTTTAGATAGGGAATGCATGTGACAGCATGAGGGTGTGCTTCATAAAAATATATAACAGATTCTTTCCTAAATATTTTTCATGTGAAGCTTTATTCAAATGGTAAAAAAAGGATATGTGGATCACATGTTCCACCAGAACTTAAAGACAGAGAGAGTAATATAACTCTAGTCATT